TCTGAATTTGCAAAAACCGTTCTTGATTCGAATCGAAAACCTATGAATCGTGAATCGAATCGATTCGCTGTCTACCCAAAGATTCACAAGCCTTACATTAGAGATAAAAAAAAAAAAAATTATTCAACAGAATAAAAATCTTAATCTTAGGATTTCTGAGTCAAAAAAATAATAATTTGTAATGTGAAATTAAAACACACATATTTAGCCATTAAAGCATATATATATACTGTATATATACATACACTATATTCTAACTATATATATATATATATTTTTTTTTTTTTGTAAAAATACGGCATAAAATATTTTAATAAATAAATCCCTAGTCTCCTCTTGCAGCCTCCTGGGAGTCCTGGATGCCAGTTTGAAAACAACTGAGTTAAACCAATTCTAAGAGCAGAGAGTTTGGTACCTGGCCCCATTATTTATGAGTGCTGTTCTCTGATCAGTTTGGCTTTTTTCATGGAAAATGTTAGTGCAAACAGTCCGTATCTGATCTCAGCTGAGCACTGACTTGCTTAGTGAGTACAGGCTGTGTTGACCAAACTGTCAGTCCCAACTTCCACTGTTTTTATGTGCTACAAGAGCAGATCAAACGACCTCTCTTGAAGACTTAATGGCATGGCTCAGAGGGAAAAAAAAAACATAAGATAAAGATGGATTTATGGGATGGATCCATCTCCTTTTCCACAAAAAAAGCGTGCAGGACTCCATGCACTTTATGGTAGCCCAGCAGCAGCATTTGTCCGATGCCATGAAGTCAAGAAGATGGCCAGGCTGGGCGGTTCCTTCCCAGCCGGCCTGTCGGCCATGCCACACCACGCACCCAACACCCAGTGCTGGAGGTGAGGGAAGGGAGGAGGGAGGACAAAGGGGTGGAGAAGCGGGTACTGAAGACCTTACCGGGGCTTCTGACAGGTCAACATGAGAAACCCGTCATACAGCAGGGCAGGAAGGGTGTGACTCACTGTGGTCCAGTACTGATTGGTAAAAGGGTTGGATCGCAGGTTAACATTGGGGCGTCTGAAAGCCTGTTCTAAGGGATTGGTCTTGAACGTCATGTTTATGCAGTACTCTGCAGAAGGGAATACAGGCATACAACATACAAGAGCATTTTAAACACAGAGCTACACAACACATACACACACACATGGATAAGCACACACACACACACACACACGTGGACGGGAAGCGTGCAGAACCCAGTCTCCGAGTGGGTTATGCATCCTTGCCCAAGACACAGGGAGCGACACGTGACGGCTAGACCGAGTGTGGAGGAGGAAGCGGGGCAGGAGAAAAAGGGGCGAAGCGGTCGAATTTACCTTGGCTCTCTTCCTGACATCCTTAGGAAGAGATCATATAGGAATGCTGGCGCCTTGTGGCTTACAGCAATCCAGTACTGATTGATAAGGTGATTGGTTGTGAGATTTACATTTGGCCGCCTGAATGCCTGCTCGAGGGGGTTCCTCTTGAAAGTGGATATAACATGGTATTCTAAGAGACAAAAAGGGGTTCAACAGTAAACGGCACAGCTGTGCATGACTTGGTTCAGGGTTAAAAAGCAACATTTTGATGGTTTCTTCCATTCATAAGCATTGGGGTCACTTAATTGGCATAATCCAAGTATTAAGATCATTTTCAAAGCATCATGCCAATCATTTTCTAAAATTCATCTTAGTTTTTGGCTAGGTCTCAACAATAAGGATGGTGAGAGTATTTCGGGCCAGTTAACAGAACTGAAATTTATTTTAAATTAAACACAATATATATATATATATACATATATATATGAATAAATATTCATAATACATATAAATATAAAAACAAATAAATAAATACAATATTTATACTGAATACTAAACACACAATATTATACTAAATACTACTAAAAAAATAACATAAATATACCACTAAATCAAGTATTAATAAACTATCATATATATATATATAATAAATATAAATACATATAAATAAAATATACTAAATATATAACACAATAAATATTACACTACTATATTAAAAATTATATCATATAATATAGGCTAATTTACCAAATTATTTGTTGTAGCTTTTTTAAATATATATTTCTTAATTTAGGAAATAAGCACATACACTTTTGTCTGATACATTAAAAATAAAAGCTTTCTGTGACTTGGGCAGGGAAAATATGGGAAGGGCATCTACAAATCTGAACTACTAGTCTGATTGGGCCAGCAGAAAAAAAAATCCTTATTGTTGAGTCATGTTAGTGATAAAAGGATAACTCCAACTGCAACACAATGCTGATTATAACCAAATATTGTTTGTATTTTAACTAATTAACTATGGGTGAAATGGTTCCAGTAGAAAATGTATACAGCATGGTTCAGTACACACTTGTACTGTGGTTCATCTAATGTCTCTGATATAAATAGTTATAAATATCTCCAGTCTGACTGAATTTCAATCACTCATCATCACAGTGATAGTCAACAGTGAGAGTCAAAACCTGTTTTAAGAGCTCACTAGAGACATGTTTGTTGTCATAACAGTAACAACAGCAGCAAAGGCATTGAGACATATTCTCACAAAGGCTTAATTATAAGGGAGTTGCGTCACAACCTAAACAGGGTAAACAAATCACTGAGGATTTCTCACCTGAAACAAGTTTTACAGCTAGTTTTGAATATATATCTAATTTTGAGACATATTTAGTGTGTGCAATGCAAAATGTTAAACATAAGGCACATTTTGCTGCAGTATACAGCTAAATGTTTCTGTGGAAAAAGGTCTTTTTTTAAATAAAAATCAGATCAGATCCATATTAGCAGTTAAAATAAAATGTAACTGTATGAAATGATGACACATCAAGTGTTTACAAGACTGTTGCACCGCTATAATTAAGTCATTAATATAGATTCAATTTAAATTAAGATATTAGTAATATAAGAAATAAACATTATATAATCATATGTATTATACAACATTACTGACCTAATTATGTTATAAATCCATAAAATTCAATAATATACTTCTGTCCGCTACATAAAAATAAAACCCTTTTTTTGAACAATGAAAATGTATAACTTACAGATTAATTTGATTAAATTAAGTGTTTAGTATTATAATATAAATAATATAATAAATATTATATAAATATTACATATTATAATTTAATATCAAGGACACAAAATTTAGTATCAAGGACACAGAATTACTTTGTTGCCATGTTGCATTTTCCATGTAGATAGATTCGGATCTTTAACCAGATTTTAAGGTCACAACATGATAAAAGGTTATAAAAACCAAATATGGTATCACAAAACCACTCATAACTCATCCAATAATGGTGGTTATCATAACTCATTCCTCCCCACCCTACTTCACTTCAGTGGAAACCAGACAGCTATGAAGATAAGTCTCAGAAATTTAAGTCTGAATAATCAAATCAAAGTTAAATCCATTCCCATATGTGACCCTGGACCACAAAACCAGTCTTAAAGGGATAGTTCATCCAAAAATGAAAATGTTATGTTTATCTGCTTTCAATGGAAAGCTTAGCTTATTTATTCAGCTTTCAGATGATGTATAAATCTCAATTTCAGAAAATTGACCCTTATGACTGGTTTTGTGGTCCACGATCACATATAAGAAAGAGCCAAAGAAAGAACCAGCTGACGTCCATACTACATTCATACGCTTGTTCAAACATGTCACTGTTCTCACGCTTTTTCATTTAACGTGACAAGTTCTTCGATTTGCAGTCGATACGAAAAATGGAATGGGGATAATGAAGCACTGAAGGCCACTGTGGACATTTGAGTCATGCAGCGATTTGTTTGAAAAAGTGATCCATACCAACTTCACCCCAGTGAAATGGATTGATCCCGCCCGTCGTGCAGTTGTACACCAACATACTTCTCGGCCTGCGATGGAGACAAATGTCTCTGTCAGAAAACTAGCAGCATTTATTTTCCAGTGATCCGTGTGTGAGGGATTTATTGTGCCTGTTGGTGTTTGTGTGGATGTCTGACCTGGCATGTCTCTGGGAACCGGAATACCAGGCGGCGGCCAAAGTGGTGTTTATGACCACATCAACTGGCACGAGGTCAGCGACAGCGTTATTTGAAGCCCTCATTGTTCGTAGAATCCCCTTTCCTGCCTGCACAACCAAAAAAAACAAAAAAAGGCTTTTAACATGAAGTACCAATAAACAATCATACAAATTGAAATGCCACTGCATTTAAATCTACTCTAAAAAATCAAAGTGGCCACTCACAGCGATGAATATCCCGCTCGGCCCATTGAAATTATCTATCCAGCCCTTTAACAGAGTGAAAAAGAAAGAGTGGTGTTCAAAATCCAGGCAGTATTTTTTTTTATTAGGTGGGAGGATGGAAATGAGCATGCTTACGGGGAACGGCTCCTTCCAGCTAGCTCCTACGATCGAGGGCCTGACGATGGCGACGTTGAGGTTTCCACACTCCTGCTGGATGAGGTGTTCTGCCAAGGCTTTAGTGTAAGTGTATGTGTTAGGCCGCTCACCTAACAGCTTCGGTGTCATTAAAGAGACGAGTTTGTCATCCATCCACCTGTCAGCATCGTACAAGTCCAGGAGGTTGAGGGAGAGCCAAAAAATACAAAATAAGAGGGTCTCATCTAGTTAATCCTGCTTGAAATAGCTTCAGTATTCATTGTGTTATTTTCTTATTTCTGAGCTGTTTTGTAGTTAGTTACATTGTTATGTTTGTATGTACATTTGCATGTATGTATGTATGCATGTATGTTTAGTATGTTTTAACATGTTTTTATTTACGTAAAAACTATTTCAAAAGATTATATATGTATATATAAAATTACAATAAATATAAAAAATATTAGAAAATATACTATGTAAAAATGAAAAAGATTAAAATATACATATACACATATATATGTATGCATGTGTGTGTGTATATACATTATATATACACACATACACACTCATTTTACTTTACTAATTAAGCAATTAATTGTATGGGTTAAAGAAAATTTGAAATGTTGCAACTAACTGAAATAAGTTACTAAAGTTTAAAGTACTAAAATTAATACAGCTAAAACAAAGTATACATTTAGTATAATTTTATATATAAATATATACACATATACATATAAATATATACACACACACACACACATACTAAATACTAAGTATATACTATACTATATCCAAAATACTAACTTAATTCAGCACATAAAATGACTAAAACAAACCAAAATTAGCTGAAAATATAAAAATAAAAGCTAATTCAAAATTTTTTAAATATATAATTATACTATATAAATAATACTTAAATAACAGAGTGTGGAAAATGGTCATGAAAAACAAAATAATGACATAATAAAATAAACCTCAGGAAAAAAAAATAATAATATGAATAATCAAATAATTACCAGAGCTAATTTGCAAGAATTCTGACAATGGGCCCTTGTTTATGCATGATCTCTAACTGGGAAAGCATTGTTAAATTTATGGCTTTATGCGTGAAAACAGCCACTATGTATATGTCCTTGACATATTTATTTATTAGTCATTGAAATTCTGGCTTTAGACTTTAAATATGATGAGGAAGGTGATTGCGGGATCAAACACAAGAAGAGTGTTTTGAGAGCTAAGACTTACTCAAGTGTGTCTATGAGCTTCCTGTAATCGACAGGTGGTGGATAGACCACCTCTTCAATTAGCTCTCGGTCACAGTGGGCGTAGGCTGTGGACACGTGGATAAACACATCCAAATACTTCATTCTGTGAGCCAAGTTAAGCATCTTCTGCGTGGCCAGTACATTCAACTGCATGGCATCTCTGCAGCAGAGGGACAGAAAGAAAAAAAATAAACACTGAACTGCAGTGACTCTGCAGAAGCATGAGCAGATCTGATTAACTTGAAGATAGACCTGCTGCGATTTGTACAAAACCACCTAACCCAAAAAATGTTATCCAATCACGGTAACTTGCAGTTAGTGTAGTTTCAACCTTTCAACTTACTAAGCCATCTGAATAAGAGAAATTTAAGGAAATATATAATGTACAATATAATGACACAATATATGCATTTATGTCTCTCTTTCTGGTGGAGCAGTGCATTACGTGAGCACTGTGAAAGAAAAATGAAGTCAGGTGAAGAATGCATAAACACCTCTGAAGCGTTTGTGCGTGCACAGCCTGTGGTGGTTCATTCCACACTCACTTTAAAGCATAAACAAGGCTTTAGCAAGCAATGAATGCATAGCGCTGCAGATTTACCTAATTTTAATTGGACATTACAGGTGTGATCTGATAAAAAAGCAACAGTGACTGAAGAATTTGCGCAGAAATATATTACTAATGCAAAATATTTGAATAATATATTATAAAAAACAATAATTACAGTATTATTATTACTGCTACTATTATTAAAAATAAGAATATTATAAATAATGCTACTCTTATTAATAATAAGATTATAAATAAAAATTATATTTTTATAATTAATGATACAATAAATGTATTATTAGTATTAATAATAATAATAATGATATTGATAACATAATATTTAAAAGTAAAATAATAATGACAGTACTTCAATTGCAATTACTAATGCTACTATGAATTCAATTATAATTTTATTGTACATTAATAATAAAAATATTATTATTAAAATTGTTGTTGTTGATAATGCAAATAGTAATACATTTATTGTATCCTTAATGTATTATTAGCATTAACAAAATTATTATAATAGTAATAATAAAAACAAAGTAAAACAAATATAATGACAGTTTTAATATTACTTACTATACATTTTATTATTATTGAAAAATCATTGTATTATTATTAATAATAATAATAATAGTAATGTTTATTGCATCATTAATAATTGTATTATTAGCATTACCAATAATAAAAATAATAGTAGTTATTTATTTATTTATGATTTAACGCCATGTCAGCAGCAGTGGCTATATTCATGGCAAGAGGAAACATTTCAATTTCACAATTCAGTCATATATATAAATTCAAAACAATTATATAAAAATAATAGTAGTAGCAAAACAATAATGTCAATATTATTATAACTATTAGTACTATTAATAATCATAATAATAATACAATGATTTGTGTATTTGTGAATATGACTTGTGTATTAGTGGAATATGATTAGTGAAAAAAAATAGTGGGTGAAAAAAATTGATTATTAGCAGCATTTGAATTATTAATTATAATTGTATCATTAATAAAATGATTATTATTTTTGTTAAGGCTAATAAACATATTCAATGAAATCATGCATTTTATTGTATGATTCCAGGTTTAATGTGAATACATGATTTAAAGCTACATGACAAACTAAACTAAATCGCTAATAATTATCAGTTAATCATCAGACAATATGTCATTATCTCAACAGCCCTAATGCAATGGACTACATAATAATATGAAATGAAGAGATGGCTCAAGCAACGTGTTATAAAAACTCAGTTGCTTTCTGTGATATAGCCACCTAAATAATCAGAAGCTTCTAAACTCGTAGCTGTGGATAAAGCTTTGTGCTGTCCTGTGGGTGGAGATTACGGCTTACTTCAGAGGCTCGTTGAAGCGGATAGTGGCAGCGCAGTGAAACACTATGTTAATGCAGCCCATGAGGGTCTCCTGGTCTTCTATGCTAAGGTCCAGATCTGGCTGCGTCAGGTCGCTGTTGACCGCCACGATCTTCTCTGTGAAATCGGGCTGCTCCTCTCGCAGTCTGTCAAAAAGCTGAAACATTCAAAGGCTCAAGATCACTTTCACCATAATCAAATATCACAGTCCGGCCAAGCACTACAGTAAATGCATATCAATTCCTGTCACGCACAGCCTATGAGACAATGCTGTCAATATAACTTAGAAATGTCCAGAAATGTGCGTATAACATAAGAGTGTAAAGAGCAAATAGAGCGAGAGATAAGATTTATCAGCGCAATCTAGAGCATTCAAAGCATCCTGAAAGTCACTGCAAATATAACATGTGATCTGAATAGTGCATCTGTGGCTTAGTTATAAATCCAATAAGACATTTTAAATAGTAAGAGATCAAAGACATATGCTTTTGTTTAGGCATTGGCACGCATTTAACATTTTGACTCCAACTGGCTACAATGACTGTCTGGTTAAAATGATTGTTCACTTGATTGGGGACACTTGATACAGTACTTATATTTTTTGTATCGCCTAGCCTTACCCTTAATTTATGCCATAAAGTATATAACTCAATTGAGAAGTGAGAGACCAAACCATGAAGTTCTCCAGCAATCCTCCAGACCTGCACTTACCTTGCAGTTGATCATGTCAGCAATACGGGCAGTGGGCGCCTGTCCTGCTTTGGGCCGGACAAGCACATAGGCAGCTTTGACACCAGGACAAGAGCGTAGCAGCTTCTCCAGAAGTACTTTCCCCATAAAGCCTGTGGCCCCTGTGATGAGAAAATTTTTTCCCTCGTAGTACTCTGGAATGGTAACCATCCTGAGTGCACCTTCCCTCCTCTGTTACACCCCTGAAAAACACCAACAGAAACATTGTCACACAGTATCACACTGCAAATACACACACATTTCAAAAGGGTTCTCACCCAAATAGAGAACTTCAGAAATCGTGCCGTTTCGTCAGTCTGCAGTAAATATTTCATGCAGGTCACTTCCTTCCTTTCCTGTTAAGATCTCAGTCCACAATTACTGCATGACAAGTCTTAACTTTTTTAAAATGTGTAATGGCCACTTAAGAGGTGGTGTTGTATTACTATCCTGGACCGCAGCTGGATTTGGACTTGCTGGGGTCAATAAAAGTGCTCCTAAACGGCATTAAGGTGCATCGACCGCAAAAAGCTTTACATATCACTAATTGATTGGACAAATTAAATGGCATAGTAAAATCACAACAAAATACACAGGTTTATTATTCTTATCTCTCGTCCACTGATAACAAGTCAATACAGCTCATCCACAGCTGATACTGGGTTAATATGTAATAAAATAAGAGATAAAGATTTTTTTCTACTTTAGACTTCTACTTGGCCTGCCATTTTTTTCCCCACATAGGCCTACAGAACCAATTAGAAGTCTGGGGTCAGTAAGAAATTACCTTATACTTTTATTCAGCACGATGCATTAAATTGATCAAAAGTGACAGTAAAGACATTTGTAATGTTACAAAAGATTTATTTTTCATAGAAATGCTGTTCCTTTGAACTTTCTATTGTAGAATCTTGAAAAAATGACCAAAAATATTTAGAAGCATATCTGTTTTTAACATTAATATGATAATAATAATCATAATAATTGTTTCTTGAGCAGCAAATCAGCATATTAGAATGATTTCCTGAAGATCATGACACAGAAGACACTGCTGAAAATTCAGATGTGCCATTACAGAAATAATTACATTTGAATATATTCAAATAGAAAAAAGTTATTTTAAAATATAATAATTCTTCACAATATTTATTTTTAACTATATTTTTATCAAATAAATGCAGCCTTAGAAAACTTGGAAAAAGAGACTTCTTTCAAAAACACACAAAAAAAAAAAATCTAAAAATCTTAGTTTAAAAATTAAATTACAACAAATTTAATGAATTTAAATTTAAATTTATTAATTAGGCAGACACTTTTATCCAAAGTGAATTTATAATTTACAATAGTATTTTGAATTTATAATTGTATATATATAATTTAAAAAATACAAAGATTTACATTTATTAGTTAATAAAAGTATATTTAAAATATACAAATTATTTTTTAAATTCAGATTTCACGCATTTAAATTTAGATTAATATTTACAGAAAATTACTATCTGTCATTGAAAGTTATACAAGTATAATTACACACACACACACACACACACACAAAACTCATAGACAACCTTAAATTCACACTGGAACAAACACTGGAAAATGATTATTAGATTGTACTGCATTCTTGCAATTTTGACAATCTCATAGCTAATTTCACCTAGCTGACCAATTTAAAAAGTAGAACTGATAAGTAAATGTTTACATTTGCAAGGCCTAAAAATGCATGTAAATGATCAAAAAGATATAGGACGTAATCTGATCTAATCTGTGTTTGACAATCTGCATTTGACAATTTTAAGGCTCACTTTCACATATCTTACACACATTCAACCCAATACATGATGTTTCAATCTCAGCCTGCCACTTTCTTCTTGATGCATCCAGCTGCCTCATACGATCCTTTCTGTAAACTTATCAGGCCACTCAGTATAACACGTTCCCACTGGCGATGAGCTGTTGCAGCCTCTTTCTGTTCGGTGCTGCAGCCTCGCATTGTTCGCTGCATAACACCGGTGCCAAGTTCCACAGCTGCATGCACCCCAAACAGGGGCAGAGTTTGCACACACACACACACACACACTGCATGGCGGCAAATCCTTGATTTTTTCCCAGACTTTCAGGGTACAATCTGCATCAAAAAGTCTCTTCAAAACATTCAGCGAAGTGAATGGGTTATTTTGACACACTTGCCTTAAGGGCAAGCAGCCAATCTAGAGCTAATGAATGCCAGTTTAATGGTAGGGGTCAGGTGGGTTATTCCAGAAGGTGAGACAAGACATTGTGCAGTGCGATTTCTTTCCAAGGGCCACTCAGCACTTGTGACTAAGGACCCAGTGCTGCCTATGCAGTGACAATGGCATTAACCAGCATCCAACTACAGGGAGCAAAGCTAAAAAGGGAGTTCTGGGACTGTGGGTAAAAGAAAACAGTCCCTATAGAGAAGCTGGCCTCGTTCGAGAAAGAACCGATTGGCGATATAACCATCCTATATGGGGCTATCTGACACGATCAAGTCCCTTTCATGTACACCAGACCAGAGGCAAATTGATCCTACATCCCACATCCTCAGTATGAATAATTAATGTGTCACATGGGCAGCTGCTGTGCACAGGGGCACCTGAGGAATTGTACTACTGTAACAAATAAGATGTAAACAAATACCAATGTAATAACTACAGAATGACCATGGTTAGGAGCGCTTTAGCATAAAAGCTTTACATTAAGAATAGGGCTGGGTATCGATTCAGATGTTCCAATTCGATTCGATTTCGATTTTCAAGCTCTCAATTCGATGGAGATGCGCAGCGGCTCAGCTGCAAGTTTGTTTCAAACTATTTTCGACGACGAAATAGAGCAAAATCAGACAATAGTGATATAGTCAGACAATCATTTTCATAGTCACACGCAGTACTTTTCAGTCGCAAATGCTCACAGTATCTCAAAGCTAATGGGATCGAATATTCTGTGTGTGCATAGTAAAAAATTACAACGACAGACCACTAAAGTCCAGAATCAAAGATACAGTGACAGTAAATAAAATGTTGTCACAAGACTGCACTGCCTTTGCGTCTTGTGAACCTCATTAAAACGACAACCATGGGGATATTCATCCAAATGAAATGGCAGAAATATGCAATTAGCTGTTTAGAAGTAGAAAAATCAAGGATACAGACAAAAAAAAATTTTCAAAATCAAATGAGCCCTGTCAGACTAGTTCTCATTCCTGACTCGCTGTTTTTGAACATATACTCGAAAATTAGATAATAAACACTACTATAACCAAAGTATTATAACAAAATGGCCATCATATTTTAATTTATTAAAGAGAAAATGTGTAAGTGTCATTTTTGGTATTGAGTTTGAATCAGAATGAATCTTTTAAGTGAATAAATCATTCTTACTTGAACATTCACTTACTTAACTCATATTTTCTATTCAACTCTAACAAGTTTAGACTGCTTTCGCAAGACTGCTACTATAAAATGAGTACAGGAGCATTTGAGTACAGGAATGAGCATTTCATCAGTTGAACTTACTGAAGGAATAGGCCTACGCCTTTACCGAACAATTCAGTATTTCGAGACTGAACAAGACTCAAGGCGGCTATGGGCTTTGAGTAAAGCAGAGCTTATTAAATTGACAAATCTCATTTGTGAAAAATGACCTGATGACTGAATGAATGAGAAAAGGTTATTTTGTTCAATGAGTCAATCTTGTTCACAACGAGGATAAAAACAGGCGAAATAATTCTACAGAGTACAGTTGGCTAAATGGGGTTAAAACATGCTTAAACACTCTTTCTGGAGTCTATTAGCAGTTTTGTAGACACGCAAATTAAAATAAAGTATTTGTTTCAGCCATGAATGACTTAATGTTTTAACAAATCGTTTGAGTAAATGACTTAATGACTCACTTAAAGGATTAGTTCAATTCCAGAATGAAATTTCCTGATAATTTACTCACCCCCATGTCATCCAAGATGTTCATGTCTTTCTGTCTTCAGTTGCAAAGAAATTAAAGTTTTTGAGGAAAATATTCCAGGATTTTTCTCCATATAATGGTCAAATAGCAGTTTTAATGGAACTTCAGAGGGTTCTACATGATCCCAGCCGAGGAATAAGGGTCTTATCTAGCGAAACAATAGGTCATTAAAAAAAAAAGTATATACATTTCAACCACAAATGCTCGTCTTGCACTAACTCGACCTCATGCATTACATAATCACGTTGGAAAGGTCACGCTTGATGTAGGCGGAAGTACTGACCCAGTGATTACAAAGCAAACGTGCAAAGAAAGTCAAACGCCCTTTACAAACACAGGTAAAGCAACAAGGCCCATGTCGGACGATTTTGAAGTTGGAGGGAGTTTTTCATCCTAAAGTACACAGACGAAGAGCTAACCACGCGTGACCTTTCCAACGTGATTATGTAATGCGTGAATTTGCAGACACGCATCGTGGAGCTACTGCAAGATGTGCATTTGTGATTAAAATGTATATAAACTTTTTTAGAAAATGACCGATCTTTTCGCTAGATAAGACCCTTATTCCACAGTTGGGATCGTGTAGAGCCCTTTATAGCTGCACTGAAACTGCAATTTGACCTTCAGTCCCTTGGCCACCATTTAAGTCCATTATGTGGAGAAAAATCCTGAAATGTTTTCCTTTAAAAACCTTAATTTCTTTGCGACTGAAGACAGAAAGACATGAACATCTTGGATGACATGGGGGTGAGTAAATTATCAGGAAACTTATCCTTTAAAACACATAAAAAGAAACACACTTGTCGCCACCTACAGTCATAATGCCGTGACATGCAGAAAGAGTGAATGAACGAATCAGCTGAACAAATCTTTTCAGTAACAAGATTCGAGTCACCGGGATGAATCACAATCGTTGAGCGCGAGCCAAAATGACATATGCTTCACATTTCATAATAAGGTCACGCGCCCTGTTCTCTTAACTAAAATTTAACATTTGAACCTCCCTGGTCGCACAAATTGTAAGATTTATTGCTTTACTTATAACAGTTTTTTAAGCATGGGGGAAATATGAATGAATATTACATAAATGCACACAAGTAATAGAGAAAAGGTAATAAATACATTTTTATTAACTGCATATTATTAATAACGCATATAAACTGCAATAAAATTCTAACGAGTTTCAACAGACGTCCACGTATTTTTAATATCCAATGGTTATTTAATCGAAAGAATGGTCACCAATTGGACAAGGGAACAAAAATAATTTTCTCTATAACACGGTGCATTAAATTGTTGTAAACACTCGGAAAAGCAGCTTAAACATTACTTTCCAGCGGTGCGTCTTTCAGGGAGGATTTCCTACACACCGGCGCTGAAAACCCAGCATGCGAAAGTGTGCTAACAGCTAGCATTCACTCTCTAAAAATGTGCAAACTCAATTCTGAGCTCAGGAAAAACGAGGCAACAAAAATATAGCTAAAACACTCGAACGCATACCTGAGATGTTTAATATATTGCCCACGCTATTTTTTTGCCTGGCGATCCTAGGGTTGTAGTGCGCTATCCAGCAGTGATGGGAAACGCAGTAGGGTTGTAGCTTAGCTTCGCTGGAGAGGAACTGTGATGGGTTGCCAAATGATGCGTCTCAGAACAGGACCGACGTCACAACCCACCACGCGCGAGGAATAACGTCCCTTCGTGATCCTATGTGTAAAATGAATTGGTATCACATGAGAAATATTCAGTGTATATTCGCTGAGAGTTTGACAGATTCTGGGAAGAGATCACAGATTCTTCTTCAGAGTAGGATTGTAGGATTTTTTCCATAATCCCTCAAGGGACCATAGTGCCTCTCAAATGTTACTGTAAAAACCAATAGCATGAAGCACCAATGTGGTAGTAGCGTATAGGTCAATCCTTAAAAATGTGTTGCAAGAAGGAATAGATAAAAAGTATGACTAAAAATTTGTGACCTATGCTGGACAACCTGAATGAAAAATGATTTAAAGTGAATGAATGAAAGTATGGTCCCCAGTATTTGCTAACAGCAGCATGGCACTTCCCTAAATGTGAGCAAAATAATTCTGATGTATCCATTACACTGCCTGTAATTTTCTTGTCTGGCAAGTCACTTAACATAACATGAATCAGCTTCCAGTGTAACTCTATTACACTGGCTTTCACTGAAATGTATCTTATTAGCCTATATTTCTTTCTTTCTTTTAAAACCAGAGTGAGCAAATCATGTTACTGGCAAATACTGTTGCTTAACAGCAAATCTATGCTGGGAATCTGCATAAAAAAAATAAAAAATTCAGGTTTTTCTGGCTTCTCTCAACTGCTATACTGTGGTTTACTGTGGTTGCCAGGCAACATGGCTCAAGGGACTCCTGTTGGATATCACAGAACAAAAGAGCATTATATTTTACTTCCAGAATTGTTGTGCTGGACTAAATTAGCAAGGAACAATTGACAGTTGGGATCAAAACGCATATGAATTTATATCTTTTTCTCTCCCTAAGGTTCTGTTTGTGGTAATTTGTGGCCTTGGTTGAATAGACTTAACTTGACAAGTCAATATGTCTAAGATTCTTTTTGCAAGAAGAATTGCTTCAGCCTTCAGCTTTTGTTCTCTGCAGACAAAAGCACAAATGTGTTGACAGTTTTATGACAGGACCACGTTCTTGTTTGGTTTGGTGTCGCCAGTGGTGAGCTTCATACCATCGTTCTCTGCAGACAAAAGCACAAATGTGTTGACAGTTTTATGACAGGACCCCGTTCTTGTTTGGTTTGGTGTCGCCAGTGGTGAGCTTCATACCATCATCTAGCTACAACTGTCTTTTGTATCAAGAAGAGCTTCCCCACTAGTAAACACTAGACCTCTGGTTTGTGTAAATTCTCTGCAGGCAAGGCAGAGGCATTGTTGTTTTTTCAAATGTATCTAGTTCATGAATTCACAAATCTTTTATTTGAATGTCTAAAATGTGTGAAATCAAACTAGATGACAGAGTTTCTGTAGTTTAACTGATAGAGCACGGCAAGCTCAATAAGAAATCTGCAAAATACACACATTAAACTTATAGAGAAAACAGAATGCAACAAATAATGTCCATTTCCCTTCAGAAATGTTTGTAATTGGGGAGTATATTTTCTTCATTAATTCAAAGATTTGAACTCCTACGTATATAAATTCTTAGGTTGCCTATAATATCTTCCGTCTGTTTAATTATTAATTGTATATTTGTTACATACTGTATGTGAGTGCACAATTTTCAGCAAACTCTGAAAGTGCCAAAATCCAACAAATTCCAGTAAACCTTTAGATTAAAAGGTCATTCTGGTCCTTGAGGGAAACATCTTTGTCAATGGAGGAGCTTTTCTCCTTCAGCTGAATCACAAGTGGCTGTAAAGTCTTTTTCTGCTGATGCTCCTTGTAAGCTACAGGAAAATGAGACAAACACATGCACAAAATATTTAAATATTCTAAGGTCAAATTAGATCCTTAATGTCAGTAGACTGATAAACTAGCAGGTATAAAACACAAAATATAAAGTTAATTTGGGTAACATAGATACCCAACATGCAATGTTCTGTTCAACATGCACATTTCCTGTGTGAAGTTAATGAGTAACCACAGTACCCCATTTGTCAAAAAGACCACCCCTTCATCCCTTCTATAAATACCCCAATCTTAGTGTTTAACAGCAGAGGACACATAATGCCTCAATTATCCTACAGGACCTTTGTCCGTTTTCTCAGCTTGTTGGGTTGTCTCGGAATGACCTTTGCTGTTCATCCCAGTGGTAAGAAAAATTTTAATTCAATTGAATGGGAACAAGTCACAGATTAATTACAAAACTTTGTCCTGCCACTTGATACCCAGATGCAAAGTACTTAGGTAAGAGGCATCCTTGACCATTCTTTGAGGGTAATCGGAGGATCAGAGGTCAGACGAGGTTCCAATCCATGGTTGGCACGTAACTGTTTAACTTTACAAATTGCATGATAAATTAATGCAATTTTACATTCCAAAAGGCACTGAAGTGTTGGATATATCAGTGTGCAAAAATTCATTCTACTATCATCTGGTGTCTCTTAGGATCAGAGGATCACATTTCTGTGCTGCAGCGATCTTAACAGACCACTGGCTTTTGACTGCTGCTCATTGCTTTGCAAGTGTATCCATGTAGGTCCACTCAATTTATCCATTACTAATCATAACTTTTAAATGTCAACACTTCAGTGACTTTCTCTCAAATATAACTGCCTGCCCTAGGGACTTCCTGCACAAGATTGAGGCTGTAGCAGGGGATTTCAACCAAAGAAAAGTTGACAGAGGGAAGCAGAGCTTCCACGTAAAGACTGTAAAGTTCCATGAAAAATATCAATGCTCCTCTCCCATGAGCTACGACATTGCTTTGCTTGAGATCAAAGGACCGAGGGAAGCAGAGCTTCCACGTAAAGACTAAAGTTCCATGAAAAATATCAATGCTCCTCTCCCATGAGCTACGACATTGCTTTGCTTGAGATCAAAGGACGCATTCACTTTGGCAAGTCATTCTATGACATTAACTCAATTTATGTATTTATATATAGTTTGAAAATAATTTTTAGAGATTAACATAATATGTGTGTTTTCTAAGTGATTTTATTAAGCCTGTTTGCCTGCCATACCCTGGTGAGGGGTTTCCACCCAAGACCATGTGTGTTGTTGGTGGATGGGGTCGTATTACTGAGAGTGAGAAGCCATTTGAAAAACATTGAAATAACAATTAATGCTTGAAAGACCAATCTCAAATATCTTAAACCATTACTAGGATAAAAGTGAAGAGGTCTGTGCTTTCTTTAGAAGGGCCACTTCCTTCGGTTCTTCAGGAGGTGCAACTGGACCTGTTAGAGCAAAGCAAGTGCAAACATGTCCTACAAACACTTAGGCCTGGGCAGAAGACCTTCACAGTCCTGTGTGCTGGCCCAGAGAGAGGAGGGAGAGATGCCTGCCAAGTAAGTTGACACTAAAGATGTTCCCCCAACATTAACATTGAATTACAGAATTAACATCCCAAATAGTATATCACCTATGACACTCAAGTTCAGGTTGGCAAAGATGGTCCAAACTCTTGAAACTGTTTTGAGTTCCTATCTGTCCTCCTGCGCTCCAGGGAGATTCTGGGGGTCCCCTCCTCTGCCCCAGACTAGATGGACGCTGGGTGGCTGTAGGAGTCATATCATGGGGTAAGGGTTGTGGTCGAAGCTGGAATAACAACAAGAACAAACCCTTGTCCAGAAGAGGCTCAGCTAGAGTATTTACTGATGTCTTAATGTTCCTGTCATGGATCAAGTCTAATCTTAGGAAAGGTGGGTATTGTTGTCGAGTTAGAGCTACTTACCTGCTTTCAAACTCCTATAACTGGTAGTGGTTAATAATCGGGTTTAGTAACTGAAAGATTGGCTCTTCAGGAAGACACTTAACCTCATCTCTGTGAGTACTGTAAGTGTACTGCAAGTCACTTTAAATAATGACTACTTACCTATAGAACTCAACACAGGTGTGGACAGGTCCCTGTGCAGTGTACCTGATGGAGTTATACCTGGAAGTGAAGGTATCATCAGAAATCCAGCTCACCCAGGTCAAAGCTACAACAACAATGAGTGAGTCACATCTGAAGTATCTTAGATATTTGCAACCCAAAGACAAAATCGGAAACTTTCACAGCAGTTAATCTTTCATTTTTTTGCCACAGAATGTGTCTGTGGTCCATTTGAGTTGCCGCTGGAGAACATATTCTGCTGGAGTTTGACCTGGAGAATGACACACAGTGCCACAGTGATCTTCTGACTGTGTATGTGGATGAAGACAGGCAAATAGGTGAGGAGGGAAAAGAAAAGCAGAAACTATGACTTTGTTGTTGTTCTACCTTCTGCAAGTGGTTGTGAGGTTCTCTGTTTCCTTGTGACCTTGCTCAACAGGTCGATTCTGTGGTGGTCAGCCTTCATCTCCGGTTCTTATTGGTGCAGTTTGTGTCTGCTGTAAGCAGCACAGGTGCAGGATTTGCCATCCAATTCAGTGGTGTTGGCAAGGACTACAGTTTTGGTGAGTGGAATCTGTCTGACTGGTTTCTTTTGTTGTGCACCCAACTCTGAAAAACCCTACAAAGTTCCTTGAAAGTGACAGAATAATGCTTGCGGAAATCTAAACGCTCAAGCCTGTTTGGTGACAGTCCAATGACAATGCAGAATGAGTTGTGCAGCTGTATAGTAGTGATCACCATACATTGCATGCATGCTTGAAACAACATGCTTGCTTACTGTGTACTTGAATAGCATGCTTGCACAGGCCTGATGATGTTGTTTTCGAGCATTGCCTCATTTACATGTCTGTGTATCCATACAGTCCCGTTATTAAAAAAAAAACGTTCCACCCTAATTGTGCTCTCCCTAGCAGCACAGGTTGTGCCCAACTGATCTGTTGGTTTCATCCCTTGGTCTGCAAGGTGTGTTCATTTCCCCAGTCAGAATGAGAGGCAAACTAACTTTTTCTCAGTAGAATTCTGTTTTCACACTACTGCCGACAGGCTCCTCAGAGAGAGTAGAGCATATCTCAATGGGACTGTTTCCATAGTTGCATGTCTGCCAGGGGGCCTTCTACCAGTGGTAAGTTAGGAGAA